TTCCTTCACTCCAGCTCTCATCAGGATCATCCGAAGATGCCTGGCCCCCTCCAAGCAGAGTCGCCCACCGAGCGACCGTCGTCCCGTGACTCACCCGAGCGGGGCAAGAAGCGCGCAAGTATGTTTGTCGACAGCCCAGCTTACCACCCAGCTTACCACCCAGCCATGTCTCTTTCGAACTACACACGTGATGCAGCGCTGACATGACCGTTCAACCGGTAGGGACCCAATCCATGCCTCCGCCAGAGCTACCCAAGCTGGTCGCTGAGCAGCATGCGCCCATCCCCACCAACGACAAAGACACGCAGCGCCTCATTGTGGTGCTGTGCAATGCCACGCTCGAGACGTACAAGGCGTCCCACGGCTCCGGCCGGGGTCCTGGAGCGCGTGAGGACAAGTACAACCTCCTCAACAGCGACGATCACATTGGTGTCATGAGGAAAATGGGCCGCGATATCAGCGAGGCGCGGCCGGATATCACCCATCAGGTGTGTACACGCGGCAGCTGCAGCCGCCGCCATCGCCATCGCCATTGTCAGGGCCGTCGGCAGCTAACGTGGCATTCTTAGTGTCTCCTCACCCTCTTGGACTCGCCTATCAACAAGGCCGGCAGGCTGCAGATCTACGTTCAGACATCCAAGAACGTCCTGATCAAAGTATCCCCCGGCGTGCGCCTTCCCCGAACTTTCAAGCGATTCGCTGGGTTGATGGTGCAGCTACTCCATCGCCATCAGATTCGGTCGACACAATCGCAGGAGAAGCTCATCGAGGTCATCAAGAACCCCATCACCGACCACCTGCCACCCAACTGCCGCAAGGTCACGCTCAGTTTCAACTCCGATGTCGTGCGTGTAAGTGACTACATTGCCGACCTCAACCAGAACGAGAGCATAGCCGTCTTTGTCGGAGCCATGGCAAAGGGCAACGACGATTTTGCCGACCACCTCAAGGACGACAGCATCGCCATCAGCAATTACAACCTCAGTGCCAGCGTTGCTTGCAGCAAGTTCTGCCATGCTGCCGAGGACGTTTGGGGCATCTTCTAGTCACCGACTGCCAGCACTCCTCAGTGCCACATGCGCACACAGGATACGCCCTCTTAGTCAAACGCGACTACTGGCCCGACATGACTGCGCCACGTTTACCAAAGGAAAGGAACGAGAGACAGGATCCATTTACCCAGCAGGACACGTAGGCTGGCCTAGATCACAACATCGACAGCCGCCTGCGCTGCTTTGCTTGATTTTGAGCGTCTGCTTGAGGTTTTTTTTACAACAAAACTATACTCTGGCTCAACGCACAAACATCCTTCTTCATCTTTGAAGAACTCGTGGGGCATTTCAACCTGCCTCACTCCTCCTGTTTTTTTTTCTTTCTTATTGTCATCACGGCATTGCGTCCCGCCAGTGCGCACAATGTAGGTGTTCTGATCCGACTGGACGGTGATGCAGGCTTTTTGTCTGCCGTGTCATTAGCCTGTCATCCCCGTGAGCGACTAGCTTAATAGGTAACTTGTGCCCTCGACCGAGTAGCGGTATTAGGATGGCCATCAATCTCTGCGTCAATAGCATCTGACAAAATCCAACCGTTTTGTGGCCCATCGCACTCATGGTCAAGCCTGTGTATCTTGTGAACAAGTATCTTCCTAGTTAATGACTATCCGCTTTACTTCAATCGGTCAAGTGTGCGGGCTTTGTCGCGTGCTGCGCATGCGGCGGGAGAGTGACGGTACGGACGGAACCGCCGCAGATCTCCCAGCATGACGAGAAACACCATGAAAAGCGATTCAGCATGCAATTCAACGATGCTTTCGCTACCATCACAGACGCGGGGTGAAGGTATCCACTATGCTGGCCTCACTTTGAAGTCTCACTTCACTTTCTCCATGCAACCGGCCTCAATTGCGGACGTCACACCATCTCATCGTGCATTTGCGGCGACAGGTGGCCCTCCAGACCGCAGAATGCCATCGGCTACGCACGGCCAGAAAGAGAAATCAACAAGGGTGAGGTGTCTCTAGTTGCTCTTCGTAATGAAGCGTGGTGTACTTAATTCCTTCGCGGGCGCGGCCCGGGGCCAGTCGCCAATGAACCTCGGACAGCGCTCGCTTAGACCTACACCTTTTTAGCTGCATACGCAGGACATGTGGCAGCCCCAGGGAAGAACTTGACAACGGCCTCCCTGATAGCCAGCAGCATCAGCGGGGCGTGCTAGTGAAGACTTTCCCTCAACGGTATACGATGCCTTGCTAGTTATCTGTGCGTTGCATCGAGATGGTCCGGCCACATGGGACCTAGATATAAACCTTCGTGTGGTACTGCTACCTCGACATCTACATCTTCGCTGTGTACTTCCCCCATCCCTATCGTGCCTTTCGTGTCGGAGACATAAGCCAACCTCATCTGATTTGTTTCTCGTTTACAGCATTCCTTCCCTTCGTTTCTTCTCCCCTTCACCGCCATTCGCATAATGCCCGTGTCCCACATTGGTCTCACGGTTTCGCATCTTCCAACATCGTCTTCATTCTTTCTCTCAGCTCTCCAGCCACTCGGATATCGCTACATTGGACAGTCGGGGCATCAAATCGGGTTTGGCATCCAGGATGCTGATTTCTTCCTTTGCCAGGAGACCCCTGGGTAAGAAATGCCGATCGATCTGCAGGTACACCGCAACTGACTGTGCATTTAGTGTAAAGGCGGGTGCTGCTCACATTGCCTTCACCGCTCCTAGTCGGACCGCCGTTCGAGACTTCTACACAGCAGCCTTGACTGCTGGAGGCCGTCCCAACGGCGCCCCTGCGACTCGATGCGACGATGACGGTCACTTCAATGCTGCTGTCCTAGATCTAGACGGCAACAGTATCGAAGTGGTTTACAGAAACGGGCCCGATGTCAGGGATGATGGTACTGTCATTGAACACAGCAGAGTCATCACGTGGCAGAGGAGTGTCTACGAGAGCTCAAGCTACCGGGATGACAGAAGTGTCATCAGTTCACGTACAACGAAGCCGGCGCCCACCGAAGTTGCTTCAAAAGCTGCATCGGTTGCCTCGAAAGCACCAAGCGTGGCCAGGAGTATTTCCGAACCTGTCGCTGTTCCGCAAGCGACGAGTACTTCGGAAAGCGGTGATGGTGCCGCGAAGACGCTCATCGGTACACTGCTCGGGGCTGCGGCAGGCGCCGCTGTTGCATATGCAATGGTCAGGAGCGAGCAAGACAGTGCGAAGAAAGAGTCGGACTTTAGCGCGTACATGGACGCAAAGAACATTGTCAAAGCTGCGGCAGGCCACCTCGCTGGGGCCTCGTCCCAGTCCAAGGCACCCTTGCCTGACCCGCAGCCCACCAACGAGGCTGCTCCTGAGCCAGTACACCGCAACATCGATGCTCAATCTTACCACTCGTCTACACCGCCACAGCCACGTAGTGTCTACACTGCTCCTCGGCAGATTGAGGCGGCGCCCACCTACTATGCTGCATCGCAGGTTTCCAAGGCCCCGACAGGTGTCCCTCGACAGATCGAGGCCGCACCGCCTACCTACTACTCTGCATCGCAAGTATCCAAGGCTCCCACAGCTGCACCCAGGGCACTCGAGTATGTGCCAGCTCCTTCAGTTGCGCCATCACAGGCGCGATCCAAGTACAGCCTTGCACGGTCCGTCACAAGCCCCGAATTGCTGACACTGGAGAATGCACGTAGCTTAGCGTCTTCTTCGAAGCCGCAAAGTGTCGTCTCTGTGTCAAAAGCGCAGAGTGTGGCACAGAGTACTGCCCCTAGCACTCTCATTTCATCCTTTGTGGCGGATCATGTGCCACGCCAGACCAGTGAGGGTAGTGTTCATTCGCATCACTCGAGCAGATCCAAGGCCAGGTCATCGCACACAGAGACATCGAGACATACTTCGCATTCCAAGTCAAGTCGCAGCCACCACACGGAAGCGGTCGAGTCTTCTCCATCTCCACCACCATCCTCCAAGGCGCCATCAAAGGTTGCTTCAAAAGCAGCTTCAGTCATCAGTAGCATTCTAGGTCGTGACTCCAAGTCATCCGCTAGCAAGAACGAAGACTTTATAGATGACTTGGACATTGAGGAGTTGACCGAAGATGACATGGACACTGTTGTCCCCAGCGATAGCATCTCTCAGATTGGCTCGACCACCTCCCGCCGGCGCCACAAGTCTAAAAAGCACTCCGATGGCTCCGTGGTCAGCAAACACAGTTCTACTTCCAAGCACTCTCATCGCTCTCATCGATCCCACAAGACGTCATCTAAAGACTCTGACAACGAGTCCAACCACTCTTCGGAAAGCAAGTCTCGCCGACGCCACCATCGTCCATCAGTTGTATCTGAACCTAGTGATGCTAGCACCATCAGGCCTGTGAAGTCTTCTAGTAGGAAGGACTCTGTCACGCAAGGGCAGTACGATGGCTTGTTCGATGAGGTCAAGTATGGCACTGGAAGTGTAGCCGTTAGAGGGATCACGCCGAGTATGATTAGTGCGGCAGGGAAGAATAAGACGAGGACTGTCGTCAGACATGACATGGCGCAGAAGGCCAAGGTGTTTGAAAATAGTAGCTGAGCGTACATGGTAGAGAGGTGCGGAGTTGGGAGGTACCTGCATTCTCTGGCGTTGACTGCATAGATCGGAGTTGGAGCATCGGCTTTTGCATTGCGTTGCATTTAGAACTCACTTCCGCTTCACGACTTGTATGAGTAGCATGATACTGTAAAGAAATAGAAACTGGATGGGGTAAATTTCTTGGTCCACTATATGCTCAATGGTGATCATAAGATGCTGATGCTTTCAGTCCTGTTGTCTGGAGCAATATCGTCCGTTCAACAGCTGGGCTTTTTGGCCGCTCGCAGGGTTGATCAAATATTGTAGCCGCCCAGTCAGGCTGAGATCTTATCCGCCTCGCTCACCAAACCTAACATCCCATGCCTACAAAGGCATCGTCCACCCACGTCGTTGAGCCGTCGGACCCGGTAACTTCGCTGGTGACGACAATGGAAAATGTATGACTGTCCTGACTAACAGTCGCCTTGCCATTAACCTGTAAGGAGGATCAGTAAAACTGGCATTCATTAGGAGATGTAGCCCACTTTGATCCACGGATGAGTGCTCAGAGATACGGGAGCGCCGCAAGAAACCTCGTCGATGAAAAGCTCGACGCTTGTATTGTCTGAACCTCCTGGGTGATTGCTGGCTATCCACGCCGAGCAATCCACTGTCGTCCCAGCAGGAATTGAAAGTCCTGACTGCGACAGTGCGACAGTGCCATGTGACACCGTGGCGTTGGAGTGGATGAGGTAGAACTGCCTGCTGTTGTGGCCACCCTGTGCGGAGGTGAAGACGCCGCGTTCAGCCCAGGGCCCGAAAACAATGTCGAGCCACGGATACAGGCCTGATTCGAAGGAATGGTTCTGCAAGATATTACTGCAACGCTTTTTGATGGAGGTGGCGGGCCTAGTGGGTATGGCGTTGATGGGGTGAGCAAAGGCAAAAGCCCATAACATGAGTATGAACATGACAGTGACTGCCATCAAATGGAAGAACTGGCTATGAAACCTGCTGTAATTCAGGCTTCAGCTCTGCCTCGGTTGGTGGTATGTTGAGGTAAGAAGTGGGCCTTTGGGAATGGTCTATATGGGATCGAATGTGTTGATTGCGTAGTTGACGTGAAACGGTCCTGAGCAAGTGTCGTGCGATGTACTAGACGCCTGGATAAGACAGCAAGAAGCGAGAATGAAACCAAGCGAATGAACAACGTCGATGAAATGATACCTATATTCATACCTTTCCTTGGTTACAAACGTTATTGCACGAGACAACAACGCACACTCCGTCGTGCGGTCTTATTTCCATTGCAATGTTGAGGCTTGCTTGCAGGAGACAGGTCGAAAGTAGCAGGACTACCGATATAGCTCATCTCTGTGTCGGCAACATACAACGACGCAACAAGCATGCCGCTGCAACTGCACGAGTCTTCCGTTTGCAATTCGGTGCCTTGGAACGTTCGTTGGTTGATGGCATGCTGGAAGATTATGATCTAGGGGTGGATAAGCGAATTTCGCAGGGTTCTTGCTGACGGAACTTGAGACCAGTTGATGATGGAAGCCGATGATGGCTGAACAATGCCAGGATTCAAACTCGAAAGGGAGCAGGATGTGGTGGCGACAGGTGTGTGCTATAAGAGCATTGTAGAGCCCGATTGGCGAGACAGGAAGTTAGCTGCACCGTGCTCTGCTCCAGTCGGATGCGCCACCGTTGCATTCCGATTACAAGTGTAACTCGAATGTAAGACTTGCCACCCCCCTAAGCCGAACCGTGTACAGCAACGAGGACTCGAGCATCAGGCGCTGGCAAAACTCTTGCCTGCCCTTTCTCCACGAGAAGAGGCGGAAAGGTAGCCTACAGATATATTCAAAGGCATCTGTAGAATTAGGTAGAGAGCCTTATAGCTGCGTATACATCTAAGGTCCATTAAGAACTTCCAGTAAGTATACCTCTAAAGACTCACCTCGTATAGGTGTAGAGTGGATACGACGTCACCGCTGCCTGATGACACTGACAAAGCTACTGTAACGGAAAAAGAATCATGATTGAACGCGTTAATTCAAGAAATTCATTGCCGCAAATATAGGTATAAATGAAGCCGGTCTTCACTGTCATAGATTCCCCATAGAGGCGTTCGGTACCCTCCTGCAGAAACGCCAGAAACACCGCTTCCCAAGGAAACGCCCAAGCGTAGTAAATACGAATACAAGGTTGGCTTTTATGCTTTCGCGCGACACAAGTAGCTTACGCCTTGCTCTTCTTCTTGGACTTCTTCTCCGATACCTCTTCCTCGTCGGCATGTTTCCGCTTCTTGTCCTTCTTCGACTTTTTCTCTGAAACATCTTGGTCGGCAGTCTTCGATTTCTTGTCCTTCTTCTTGTCTTTCTTTTCTTTGCGGACAGCTTGCTCTGTAGCAGCAGAGGTAACACCATCGGCCATCTCAACGTCCTCAGTGGCGGTGGCAGTGGGATCCTCGACGCCAATGTCTGCTAAGACCGAGTTCATGGCAGCCTGCATGACTGCGGCGTTCTTCGCTGGTGGCGCACCGGAGGCGTAGAACTCGATGCGCTCGTCGACCTGGCGCTTGAGAGCTTCACCAAACTTGGAGGTCGGTGTATCCGAGAAGTTATCGATTCTTGATGCAATGGAGCACTTGTTGGCAAGGAAACGCGATATCCTGCCCTTGGACTTGGTACCAGTTCTGCCAATGAATGACGAGTGGTAGATAAGACCGTACTTTGGGGTGTTACCCTTGGTCTTCAGCCTGTGTAGGGGTCAGTCTTGCGCATGAGCGACGATTACACCATACTTACGCTCGGAAAAGTGCTTTCTCGGCACCGAGGATCTGCACAGTCGAAGCAGGGTACTTGGACAAGTTGGTCAACGAACCAGCCTTGGAGATGAGGCGGGCTCCGACAGTATCGCCGATGAGGGCGGCCAAGTTGGGAGCAACCTGGTTCATCCTGCTTCCGAGATAGTTGGAGAGCTGTTTTCGGTAGGCAGCCAGAGATGCTGTGCGCTTGGCAAATGCCATGACGATCTCCATGTCGGCTTCAGACAGGTCGCGACCCATGGATGTGCGGGCAGCCTTGACGATGGCCTGTGCAACTCCCTCGTCATCGTCCACAACAGCAGCAAGGTCATGGAGGTCGTCCTCAGTGAGGCGCGACTTGTCGCCAATTGCGAGCACAAGCTTTGCGTACTGGTCGTTGTTGGAGACGATCTTGGAGAGCTCGGGGAAGTGCCATCCGTAGTTTTCGCGCAGGCGCATGCAGAACTGGTTGAGCTGGGCGGAGTTAGCACGCATGCCAGGGCAGTTTTGGCGGTATACACACATCCTTATCGATCTGGTCGAGGGTTGCAATGGCCTGGATGATGTGGTTGTCCTGCTTCTGGACGCTGAACTTGACCTTGGCGCGCGAGTAGGCGTGGCCGAGACCGAGGATGGACCTGTCGATGTCGCCGGGCTGCAGCTTCTTGATCAGCTTGCCTGAGTGCTGGCGCAGGCCACGCAGCAGGTCGGCGACGACCTCGGACGTGTCGCTGGTCTCGCAGGAGAGGTTGGGGAAGGCGGCCTTGATGCTTCCGGCCAGGTTCCTCTCGCTGATGCCGAGCGTGACTGTCTTCTTCTTGCCGGCCTTGGGCAGGTTTGTCTCGAGGGTGGCGCGCAGGAAGTCGGACAGGATGCCCTCGCTGATGTCGTTGATCTCCTGCAGCGCATCCTGGGTGCCCTGGAACGGCGCGAGGCCGACAAGCTCTACCGTCTTGCCGAACTTGTCGAGGTCCTGCACAGCTTTCTGCACCTCGGCCAGGCGGTTGCCAATGGTGTCGGGCTGGAGGATGACCTTGAAGACCTAGGCGTGGCACGTTAGCAGCTGGGCGTCTCTGCCTTTGCCAGCCCTGCACATACCGCATAGCCGACGGGGCTCTCGTGGAGCAGGTAGTCGATGGACATGGTGGCTGAGTCGCCGGAGGCCGGAGGGGCAGCAGTCGCGGTGCGGGAGGGGAGGGCGCTGGAGTGCGGCAGGGTCGTCGTGCGATTGCGACGGTGGGCGGTTGGTGCTGGAGACGGGCAATGTGCGTGGGTGCAGAGTTGAAAAAAAGCTCAAAGTTCGGGGGCCCGAGCTTTCGGCGCTAGAGAGGAGAGTTCCTTCCAAAAGTTTGGACACCCGCGCAGGCACCGGCACAGGCACAGGCACAGGCACACGCGAAATCAACCCCGCGACACACGCCCACCACCCGTGACAAAATCACCCACCCATCATGTCGGCTGCACAGCTACTCAATCCCAAGGCCGAGTCGAGGGTGCGTTGACCCCCGCCGACGCTGCCCCATCAGAAATGCTAACAAGCCCACAGAGGCGCGGGGAAGCTCTGAGCGTCAACATTGCGGCGGGAGAGGGCCTGCAGCAGGTATGCGACGCCCCTGGCGAGCCTGTGGGATCCGACGGTACTGAACTCGCAACAGGTGCTCGCTTCCAACCTGGGACCCCGCGGCACACTCAAGATGTAAGAAGCCCACGCAACACCGCTGCACACAGAACAGACGACGTGACTGACACTGCCTAGGCTGGTTGACGGTGCTGGAGGCGTACGTATGGCCTTGTAACCCTCGCGATCCGCTCTAATCGACGTCTGCAGATCAAGCTCACAAAAGATGGAAGTGTGCTGCTCAAGGAAATGGTGCGTTGCCAGACCCCACAAGTGCGAGACCACGACTGACTTCCACCCAGCAAATTCAAAACCCGACCGCCGTACGTCTCCCCTCCCAAGCCCTGCCCTGTGATCCCATATTGAACGAAGCAGGTCATGATCGCACGAGCGGCCACGGCCCAAGACGACATAACTGGCGACGGCACAACCTCAGTAGTCCTGCTCGTAGGAGAGCTGTTGAAACAGGCAAACAGGTACATCTCCGAGGGGCTGCACCCTCGCGTCATCACCGATGGCTACGACATTGCCAAAACAGAAGCATTAAAAGTGGGTGCCAAGTGTCTTGGGCAAAGCAACAGGCGCTGACTTGGACTAGTTTCTCGATGACTTCAAGCTTGCAAAAGAGGTCGACCGCGAACTGCTCCTCTCCGTTGCCCGAACGTCGCTTTCTACGAAGCTCGACAGCTCGCTTGCTGAACAGCTCACCCCCGACATCGTCGATTCGGTATTGGCCATCTACCAAGCGCCTGCGAAGCCCGACTTGCACATGGTGGAGATCATGACAATGCAGCACCGGACAGCCGCAGACACACAGCTCATTCGTGGCCTGGCTTTGGATCACGGCGCAAGGCATCCAGACATGGCCAAGAGGGTTGAGAACGCCTTCATCCTTACCCTCAACGTCAGTCTGGAATACGAAAAGTCGGAGATCAACTCGGGATTCTACTATTCGAGCGCCGAGCAGAGGGAAAAGCTTGTCGAGAGCGAGCGGCGGTTCGTTGATGACAAGCTCAGGAAGATTGTCGAGCTAAAGAAGGAGGTCTGTGGCGACGATCCCAAGAAAGGCTTCGTCATCATAAACCAAAAAGGCATTGACCCGCTCAGCCTGGACGTACTTGTCAAGAATGGCATATTTGCCCTCAGGCGGGCCAAGAGGAGGAACATGGAGCGTCTCCAGCTCGTATGTGGTGGCACCTCACAGAACAGCGTTGACGATCTGACGCCTGATGTTCTCGGCTGGGCAGGCCTTGTTTACGAGCACCAGCTTGGCGAGGAGAAGTACACATTCATTGAAGACGTCAAGGAGCCCAAGTCAGTCACATTGCTCATCAAGGGCCCGAATGCGCACACGATATCCCAGATCAAGGATGCTGTTCGTGACGGTCTGAGGAGTGTCTATAATATGATTGTCGACAAGAGTGTGGTACCCGGTGGTGGCTCATTCCAGGTAGCTTGCGCAGCTCACCTACAGAGCGAACAGTTCAAGAAGACAGTCAAGGGCAAGGCAAAGTGGGGAGTAGCGGCTTTTGCAGACGGTCTTCTCATTATCCCAAAGACGCTGGCAGCCAATTCTGGCCATGACATTCAAGATTCTCGTAAGCTACACTCGATTCATTCGTGTACTCAACTAATTCTGGGACAGTGGCAGCACTCTGGGACGAACATGCGGAAGGCAACGTGGTGGGTCTCAACCTTGCAACTGGTGAGCCCATGGACCCGACGCAAGAAGGTGTCTACGACTCTTTCCGCGTACTGCGCAACTGCATAGCATCGGCCACTGGAATCGCTTCTAACCTTTTACTGTGCGACGAGATGCTCAAGGCTAGGCAAATGGGACGACAGCCCGAGCCTGGCGAGGGTCAATGATGAGGCAACTGGGTGCCACTCTGGTAACGAACTGTAGTGGGAACTACGAGCCATGCAGCCTAAGAATAGCTCGGCGTAGTTGCAGTAGTTCGCTTCTACTCGGCTTGCTCAAACCACTCTATATACCGCCCAGATGGAAAAAAAAATAATCAAATGAACAAGCCATTGTCGGCACACAAGTTTGCAACAACTAGTCACGCATGACGCAGCCCTACTCTGACAAAATTTGGAGGCTTGCACAAAACATTTTCCGTCAATTGCACATTTCGCAGGAGCTGCCCCTCATACCGGGATCAATTAAGCTTAAATTTAGAGCTTCCCGCTAGACGGATTGTCAGGGGCCCAGCGGTTGCCCTTGGGTGGTGCGACAGGCGTATAGAATGTAGCAAGTGTTGTGGCAGGAATGCGCACCATGTGCACGCCAAAGAGTTTTGGTGATGATCCTTCTCCGTGGTGTGGACGCTTCTGACGCGAAGAGAACCCTGAATCCCTGATGATCGTTTGGATCGTCGACAGCTTGTGGGGCGTGCAGACTGCTAAGGACCTTGCGGACAGCCAAGCCGGACCGCGAGCACGAACACGAGACGAGTTGCATCTGCTCCTCCTCCTGGCGCTCGTTCAACTGTCCACTGTGGCATTTCCTCCTCGGCGCCTTCTCCTTGTGCGCGTTCTGATGGCAGCAAATATTTAGCGATTCCCCCTCCTTGGCCCGCCGTCACATTGTGCACGCGACGCTTCTCTTCGACAACACTCCTTCTTAGACCATGTTTCGATACCGGAGATATCGTGTTTTCTTGGTGTTTGCCGTTGTTGCGCTGTTTGCGCTGTACAAGTTTGGAGCATCTGGGACGACATGGCGCGACGCTGCATCGACTGCAGCGGAACTAAAGAATGAGGCCGAGGATGCTCTAGGATTCGGGTTCAAGCCACGCCCTCCCATAGCACACGACACGAAGAAGCTGGAACTGGATATTCCGGTCGCAAGCAGAACGCAAGCGCTGCAGACGCCGCCGCCCGCGAAGACGATTCCATCGCTGTCGCCCTCGAGTCCTGTCGTGACAGAGAAGCCGCAGCCACAGAAGCCCGCGATCCCGCCCCCTCTGCAACCCAAACCACACGGCAACCCTGCGCCGCTCGACGACGCCTCCACCAGCATTGAACCCATTCACTGGTCTAAGTTGCCCGAGAAGTTCCCTGTCCCCACGCAGTCCATCATCAAGCTGCCCACGGGCAAACCTCGCGACATACCCAAGATACAGCACAAGTTCAAGCCCGAAGATGCGGCAGCAAAGACAGACCGATTAGCAAAGCTGGATAGAATCCGCGCTGTCTTCCAAAAGTCGTGGAGCGGATACAAAGAGTTCGCCTGGTTGCACGATGAGCTGAAACCGCACTCGGGCACTTTTAGGGATCCTTTTGCTGGCTGGGGCGCAACGCTGGTCGATGCCCTGGACACGCTGTGGGTCATGGGCATGAAGGACGAGTTCAGCGCCGCGGCCCAGGCCGTGGACCAGATCGACTTCACCACGACACCCCGCGCCGACATCCCCCTCTTCGAGACCACTATCCGCTATCTAGGAGGTCTGCTTGCGGCTTACGATCTAAGCGGCAAGAAGCACAAGAACTTGCTGGCCAAGGCAACTGAGCTGGCCGACATCCTACTAAGTGCCTTTGACACCCCAAATCGCATGCCAGAGACGTACTACTACTGGAGGCCACAGTTCGCTTCGCAAAATCACCGTGCTAGCGTACGTGTGGTACTGGCAGAGATTGGATCCATGTCCATGGAATTCACCCGCCTCGCCCAGCTCACCGGTGACCACAAATACTATGATGCGATAGCGCGCATCACGGACAACCTCGAAGAGTTCCAGAACAATACGAGACTGACTGGCATGTGGCCCACGTACCTGGATGCCTCGGGGTGTGGGAAGGTACATGCAGATCCACTAGCCCAAGCACGGCTCAATGATCATAATACTCCGCTTCAACCATCCACTGTTCCGGCACCCACGCAGGGCAAGAAGGAAATTCCTCTCCAGTTGCCAGATCCTGTAGTCCTCGCACCCAATGGCGTGAATCCGACTTACGTAGCATCCCCGGAGGAAGACACCATCGCGCTAGGTAACGCTGGCAAGGGCACAATCCGCAATTGGGATGGCAAGCCTCTGGAGAGGCGGCAACTTGACGTCGAAGTCGAGGACCCTCCGATGGTCCAAGCAGGTTCCCAGGATGATTCGCTACCCGACGTAGCCCCGGCTGAAACTGCGTTACCTACACTACCCGTGTGTGTAGAACAGGGTTTCGTATCATCATCTGAGTTTGGCCGTGAGGAGTATACCCTCGGGGGTTTGTCTGACTCAACCTACGAGTATCTACCTAAACAGTACTTGCTCTTGGGAGGTCAAGTTGAGAAATATCAGACCATGTACGAACAGTCCATGGACGTGGTGAAGGAGCACTTGATCTTCAGACCAATGTTGCCGAAAGAGGATGACGTTCTGTTCTGTGGCAAGCTGAATGTGCCATCGCGCGTGAAGGACTTGGTCCCTGGCGATTTGACTGGCGAATATGCCCATCTTACATGCTTTGCTGGCGGCATGTTCGGCATGGGTGCTAAGCTATTCAATCGACCAAACGATCTTGAGATTGCGAAGAAGCTGACCGAAGGCTGCGTCTGGGCCTATGACATGACTCAAACTGGTATCATGCCAGAGTCATTTGAAGCGATACCCTGCGAGAATGCACAAGAGTGTGCTTGGAACGAAACACTGTATTTCGAAACAATCGACCCAAATGCGGATCTCCGCCACGAAGCCTACAAGGGGCAAATGCAAATTTTTCACTCTCAGGTGGCGTCCGCATCGTCTTGGTATGAGGAACAGCTTGCTGCCATGACCGCGCCTGCGAAGGTGGTAGATCCCTCATATCCAGTTTTGGCAACGCCAACGCCCATATATGCGGATACCTTGGACAAGCGCCAACTGGCTCATTTGGTAGATGATGCGGAGACAATAGTAGGTGGAGCTGAAGAGCCCCAGCACCTGCCAACGAAGGTCCAACCTCTGCAAGATGACGGGGAAGCCAACCTCGAGCAAAGTCAAACACTACCTGCATTTCCCTATATCTACACACCCAGTCCACCGTTAAACCATAAGGACTATGTACAGAACCGAATCAAAGACGAGCGTCTTCCACCAGGCGTCACAAGGATCGGAGCGCGGAACTACATTCTACGGTAAGTGATCCACAATTCAAATACACCCCGCTAACGATTCGATTGTAGCCCGGAAGCCATTGAATCTGTATGGTACATGTACCGCATCACGGGCGACAACCACTGGCGCGAAGTCGGCTGGCGCATGTTTCTCGCCGTGGACAAGCACACCTCGACTAAGTACGGCAATTCCGCCATTGATGATGTCACACAGTTGTCCCCGAGCCTCAATGACGAAATGGAGAGCTTCTGGCTCGCGGAGACGTTGAAGTATTTCTACTTGCTTTTTGAGACAGAGGACGTACTAAGCTTGGACGACTGGGTATTGAATACTGAGGCCCACCCTTTTCGCAGGCCTACGTAAAATAATGTCTCTAGATAATAGTCAAAATGATACTTATGGCTCGGAGCTAGAAATGTTAAGGTACTTGGACATTTACTGAGGTATATTGGGCACGAGCATTCAATGGACTTACATTGTTCATTGAGTCAGGTGCGAAGACCCCAATCGTTTTGCCAGCTTCATCACACTCTGGTCTACATGCCCTCGAGCCAACGGTTCTGGTATGTCGCTATTGCCGAGCTGTTTATTCTGATGTAGTGATAGCCGAATCGTAAGCACATAGCCGACATGACCTCGAGGCCGAGGTGAAGAACGTAGCGCATCTCAGTGCCCAGACCTGCATCCGCTCCGGTGCGCGACGACGGCATAGCTGTAGTGGCGATGTGCGCATATCCAGAAAAGCGGTTGTACATCGACCAGTCAGAGTGAATCAAAGGTTGCTGGTTGTAATGGCTGTACCACAGAGGCTGATTTTCACTTCTACCCGCGTGAACACGAGATTCCGGGCACCGCCTCGGTCATAACATGGACCTTCAGGTCAATCTAAATTTGCCATTCATTTACACATCACGCTCCATTTGGCCACCTTGATGACTCTGAAAGTTAAGCAGATTGGATTCGGAATCCTTGGTATTGGTCATCGTCTCTGACTTGGATACTCTAGTTACATCGGCCTAGTAGCCAACGCATTGCTGTGCTACCGTACTAGACCCTGATCAACATCTCGCAGTCACTAAGAGAACCCGGGGGGTCCTACGCCCCCCACAGACTACCGTAAGCATGGTTGACAGTGTTGCTTTCCATCTTCCCCGCATTATGCTAAGATCTCCTAAAGTAAATATGGTCAATCGCGGCGATATGACATGATCTACACTTCACAGTGTCGGCAAAGAGTAATGATGTTCGTCTATAGGTCTCTATATCAGTCGTGTGGGTTGCGCTCAACAGAGAAAGCCAACAGTTTTACAATTCAATTGCAAACATGGTACCTAGATTGACGACTGCACTCCTTGCGCTGTTGCCGCTCGCGGCAGCATGGCCACAAGTCATGGAGATGAACGACAGAATGAAGAAGCGGGAAGAACCTGGTCCACGCGCGCCAGTCTTCAAATCCGGGCGTCCCAATACTGGGCTACCCGCGCTCACATTCAATGCTCAAGAACAATTCATCAATGTCACACAAGGCAGTGGACATGAGTTTGTCTCGCCTGGGTCCGGAGATATCAGGGGCCAATGTCCTGGATTGAATGCTGCTGCCAATCATGGTTTCTTACCGCGGAACGGCATTGTGAGCACAGAGCAAAGTAGGTTTATCTGGGAGGTGGAAACTTCCCCAGCTAACAATCACAGCCATATCTGGACTCGGGGAGCTGTACAGCATGTCTCCAGACCTCGCATTGTTCCTCGCTGTGGTTTCAACTGCTTTGGCAGGCGATCCAGTGACCGGACAATGGTCGATTGGTGGAGCATTTCCTGCAACACTACCAATTTTCCCTGCTACAGGTATCGCTGGCACGCACAACCAGTACGAAGGCGATGCTTCTATTGTCAGGGGTGATGCCTACCTTAATGGTGGTAGGGTGGGTGTCTTCCAGATGCGATCATGGGAGCACTTGTACAGTCTAGCCGAGGAATATACTCTGGACGACGTCGCTGCTCAATCCGGTGAGTGATCCTGTATTCTTCTAGATGCGCATGTGCTTACTCTTAGCAGATTATAATACGCGATGGAGTGTCGCAAACAACCCGTATTACTTCTCGGGTCCATTCTCTGGCATGGTTGCTCCTGCTGCTCACAACTTCGTCATCCATTTCATGTCGAACCACAGCGCTGAAAAGCCAGGCGGCACTTTGACACGCGAGGTTCTCAAATCTTTCTTTGCAGTTACTGGGGATGGACCCGGCAACTTTGTCCACAACCGAGGCCAGGAACGCATTCCAGACAACTGGTACAAACGACCCTTTGCGAACGCTTACAATATACCCGAGGTTCTAGTAGATGTTCAGGTTATGAACGCTGTGAGTATGGACGTAGCATTCTTAGACTTATTGCTGATATTTCGATAGATGTACCCCGGTATCGTGCGCGTTGGTGGAAATACAGGTACAACCAACTCTTTCACAGGTGTCAACTTGGGAGACTTAACCGGTGGTGTTTTCAACGCAGGCAGCCTCGCAGAGGGAAATAATGGTGCCTGCTTCCTCTTGCAGGCGTCGTTGGCAGGACTACCCGACATATCCAATCCACTACTGGGCGCCGTTGGTTCAGTTCTTGGCTGGGCGAAGCAGCAGCTGGGCCCATTGAGTTCGCAATTTGGCTGCCCGCAGCTCGCCAACTTTGACAACCAGTTATTCACCCCGTACCCTGGTTACGGCTACAAGACCTCTGGACTCAGAGTTTAGGCACAGCATTGGTACGTTGAGATGACAATTTGAGGGACTGCGCAACATAAATGTGTGGAAATTTGTATATACACACAAAGGTCCTGCCGCTCTAGGAAAAAACACTTCATTTTGAAACATACGATGCGGATCGTTCAGTCTCAATCTATTGGTGTAATTTCCATTTGTCTGGTATATGTTGAGGAGAAAGCAATTGAACATGTCTAATACATCGTCAACCTTGCTCTATCCACATATCCATAAAATCCCTGTGTACCTAGGCGATGCAGCAAATGTGACTTCATTTTGTGAATGTACCACAAGCACACATGGACACTGAACCCCAAGAGTGGTAGCGATTATGGCATCAAGCGCAATTGCTGAGTATCTTCGCGCTTCATATTGGTTACCGTGCTGGGTTCCACGAGATCACTCTATAAGTTGATAGCGTCAGGCTATAAGCGAAAAATCCCGTCTTTATGCATCGTACCCCGCATATATACGTCGCCGGGTCTATCGACGGACATCGTTCCGGAAGATCTGCGCGCGGGTGCCTGACGTGCGGAAGGCATTATTCGGTAATACACTTTGATTCGGCTACATGCAGGCACGTTCAACACTCAGCAGCGCTATCACTATGAAGTGGCTCAATCCCCAAACTCGAAACATATTTGATATTCCTATAGCTGATATCTGCCAATCCTATTGCGCAATACTTGCGAAAAGTAAATTGCGTTGTCTGGCCCCGAATGGATAGCGATATTCAAACCTGGCGGAATACCAATTGGCAGCGTGACGCCATTGTCCGGCATATCAATAATGACAGCCTCATTGTTGGCATCGAGGTACTGAATAGTGTTTGTCGTTGCGGTTGAGTACCAGTACCTTCCTCGCGGGTCTACGGTATTCTCAGTTGGGAAACTCGCCGGTATTGGGGCAGTGAAGACGTCAATTTTCTGGGTCCGCGTGTCGAATCGCACATTCGAATTTGAAAGGAATCCGGTAAACCATATGTACCTGTTTTCGGTTTCTGCGCGGACCACGACAATCCCGAGCCCAGTCAGTGGCAACGGGTAGCGCGTGAACTGCTTCGTGCGGGGGTCAAACTTTGTGATGGCTTGCCCCAGCATCTCGGCAAGCCAGACGTTGCCGTCAATTTTGGACACGAAGGCGCCGACCACGCCGTTCAATGGTGTGGGTAAAGGGTATACGCCATCGAACTCTTCTGTGGCGTAGTTGAAGTGATACAGAGTTCCAGTTGTGGTCAAAGTATACCACATCTGCGTGTGAAGTTAGCAAAGAAGTTCTTGAATTACGTTTGAATTCATGCTCTCACCCCGGTTTCTCCTGCCCATAGATCATTGAACGGTTGGATGTTTCCCAAGAAGGGAAAATTAGGTACAGGAGGAGTGAAGACTTTGATGAACCCAGTTTTGGGGTTGATTTTCAAGAACTGCGAGCGGATGCCGGTAGCTGCATATAAGTTCCCATCTTTGCCTGGCTGAATCGCACAGGCAAAGGCAATGCGGCCGGTCAAAGGAAGGCTTGAGTTGTAGAGCTGATCTGGGCTGTAGGGCACAGGGTAATTGGTGACCTGGCCACTGTTTATGTGAATCCGAGAAATACTGTTATCGAGAAAGTTCTGCGTCCAGATGCTGCCATCGGGCCCAGTGGTAATATCGCATGGACCTTGGAGTGCATCAGGATTTTCATAGTACTTGAAGCGTGCTGGGTCTGAGTCGCCTTTGGAGTGGCTAGGTGTTAAGTCTAGCTGAGGTGCAGGTATAGCTAGAACAACTGGGGCGAACAAAACGAGAAGTGGAGCGGCGAGCATATTGAAGAGGACAGCCAGAAGATATTGTGGTAGAACTCATGCTCTTTTTATACATATCTTAGCTGCTAAGCAGTAGTGTGTAAAGCTAGACCGACATGCGCAGGGAGATCGCCTGTCGATCTTTATAGAGAAGGTTATTAGATCTACATTGAGTAGCCTAACCACGCTACTGCGGCTTCTGCCAACTTGAAAAAAATGGTGGGAAGAATCCCAATATTTTACGACATCCTGCAGTAGCCAGTTCTACTAACACCCAAACTACAAGTGCTGGCACTGTGGGCGCCATAATGCTCGTAAATACTTGCGTGCCTGCAATTTAATAAATACTCCACGCCATTTACACTGGCCAGTCTTCACCTGCACCCTGCACTGCCGAGGCAACTGTCCTCTCTCGACGCTGTAACAAGTCGTCTAGTTCGTCCTTTCCGTCGATGTGGAATTTTCTTTAAAGCGCTCGAGGTCGTTCGACTTCGCTAGTTCCAGACAAACGCTCAAGCACAGTATCGTTGTGGCGCGGTCGAACGCGCGGACGGTCTCGCGTTTAGGACGGTGTCCCTGCGAATCTCGTCTTCCTCAGGATACTAATTCTATCGACCATCCATACTTGGCAAGCGTGGCGCCATTTCAGCTCTCAAAATTTGTCTCACGATTACTACCAGTTAGTTGCGGAACCAATCCTAGAGCGAGGACAAGTATCTCTATGGGCCACGGCAGGATTTGTAACATGTACTAGTCTTCTCTCCGGCCAGGCGATACCCTTGATGGTCGATGGTATCAAGCCCATGAGCAGGAGCTGTTGCACTGAAATGCTGCTTGCGAGATTCTCCAGCAGCTTCGAACAGGCAGTCTACTACGACCCAGCAGCTTTAGGCATCGCTTTTGTTACGGCCCGGTGTATCGAAATTCCAGTAAGGCTTGAAGGGCAAGAAGACCAACTCTTCTGCAGATTCTCAATTACTGCTTTCGTTGGCATTGCCGATACTGCCAGGACAGCTTCCACCGCCCATGCGGTCGCCTTCTGTTCTACTAACAGCTTGGGTAAGACGTGGTAGCAGCACTAAGAGCGCAAAGATCATACATATACTTGCCTGACTTGGTGATGTGTGTAGCATCTTCGCAGATTGTTCCCAACCCTATAAAGCGAAGCATAGTGTCTTTAGGGAAAACAGTGGTTGATACGTATCGATTTTCGTCCTTAAAGTTTTAACTACGTATAAACACTCTCTTTTAGATAATAGCATATACTTACGCACTTATAACTCTCTCTAGGCGTAGTATAGTATACTTAGACTTATAAGCGTCTGTTTATATTATCTACATAGTCTAAGTAGTAAGAGTTTAATATAACGTAGTTTATAAGCAAGCTATCTAACCTAAGCAAGCTGTCTACCTAATAGAGTTAAGATAATTATAATATACTTATTATAATACTACTACTACTATATATAATTTGCAGGTAATAGAAATACTATTTAGATGCATTACTATTAAATATATCTATAATTTTAACTTTATAAGTATAAGCATTATAGCTAGTCTTCTTATAACGTTTATAATAATGCTATATATATACTCTCTTTATACTCTCTTTACTTTCTTTTTAGCTACTATCTTCTCTTTTAGCTATTAGATTAGCTATCTTACTTACTATAAGGCTCTCTACTATCTAAATATACTTTCTCTTTTAACTTCTAACCTCTATTATTATCTTTACTACTTTTTAAAGCTCTACTATCTTCTACTTTACTAAGACTACTTTATAACTTATTAATATAGCTTTCTTATTAAGCTATAACGTATTTAATCACTGAGACAGCTATGTCACTGAAACAGCTAGTTTTTCTTAGCATTACGCTTTCCTCTATAACTCTACGAGTTCTAGACTATTTTAGGATTTTATTTTATATTTAGAAAGCCCTAAATTAGAGCTTTCTAACGCTCTAAGAATTACCTAATTAGGCATAGTATTGCTAAAGTTAGAGCTTAGTGAAATAAAGAGCTCGCTTAACTTTAAACTCTAGTAACTTAAGCTATACTTCTACGTATATCCTTCTAACTTAAGGTAATTATAGTTTATAAGTAAAGAAATAGTCTATAAAAGTTCTAGACTTATAGCTAATTTATTAAAGACGTTATAGAAGAAAGTAGTTACTTAGTACTAAGTCTAAGTAATCTAGTATATTAGATGCTATAAG